ATGCCGCGTTGTTATTTGAGGAAACAAGGAGAAAATTGGGGAAAATGCGTGCATCTACTTCAGGGGCAGACAATGAGGTTGAATAAGCTATAGTAGTTCAGAACAAGGGAAATGCCAAGATGAATTACAACAGGAAGTAGCTTCATAGAAATAACAGGGATAGTGAGAGTTCTAATGAGGAAGTGGAGTGTTATTACTGCCACAAAAAGGGCACATTAAATACTTTTGTAGAAAGTTCAAAGAAGATTTTGAGAAGCGGAACAATTCTGCAAATGTTGTAATAGGAGAATAACGGATTGAAGAGTTTCTAGCTTGTGTTGAAAGGAACACACCTATAAACCATTCATCAGAGTGGGTAGTGGACACTACATAATCAGTGCATGTTGCTTCAGACAGATGTTGGTTCTCCTCTTTCGCTGCAAGTGATTATGGCTCAATGAGGATGGGGAATGAGAGTGTCTCTAAGGTGAGAGGTATTAGAGAGGTTTGTTTGAAGACAGGTGAAGGGGCCGAGTCGATGTTGCGAGACGTCATGTATATTCCTAGCTTCAAATTGAATTTCTTATCTGCAAGGAAGTTAGACGATCATGGCTACAATAGTGAGTTTGTTGGGGGTCGCTGGAAGCTCAAGAGAGAATCTAGGGTGGTGGTGACAGGCCACAAAAGATCTTCTATTTATGTGTCAAAGTTTGGGGTTGCCAAGGGTTCACTGAGAATGCATAGAGTAGCTGTAGATGGTCCAGGGTGAGACCTTATAAGATCAACAACATTGATGACTAGAAAAGATCAGGAGGATCTGCCATCAGCTCAAGTTAAATAGCTGGGAAGTACAGAAAAAGGGAAACGAGAATTTGATAGGCCATCGAGTTCATACCTCAGCTGTTAGACGTTCAGACGAGCTGGTGAAGTCGCATCGGCAAATTAGTGCATCGAAGGGTACAAGTTCTGTTTCTAGTGTGGCGACATGCTTGTGTGGGAGTGCCAAGTCAAATGCAGAGAGAAAATCTTCTTTCAGAGGTTAGTGAGTTCGATTGAAGAAAGAAGCAGCAGGAACCACTTAGATTAAGTGGGAGTACGTGACTATGTCTCTAAGTCTGGGGGACAAGACCATTGTAGAACCCTAAATTTCTCTAGTATTCAATTTCATCATTCTTTTTTTATTTGATTTGTAGTAATTTTCTTGTAGAAATTTTGTTTCTATTTGATGGTAAATGTTTCTCCTTTGGTGTGTTTTATCAAAACAAAACTATATATATATATATATAAACGCATTTGGATTAAATATAGATTTCCTTTTTTTTTCAAAGTCAAATCTTTTAAATAAAATAAATAAGAGGTAATAAAATCAAAAAGATCTTTTTTAATTAAATGTGTCTTTCCATTTTTCTCAAAAATAAAATTTTTTCAATAAAAAAAAAAATCTTACTCATTTGGAAACATTTCAATTTGATTTAGAATATTCGGGTAAAAATCAAAATCTTTAATAAATTCTTTAAAACCACAAGATTTGATTGGTTGTGTAATTAATAAAAAATATTTTTCACATTTACAAATTAGGATTTTTAAATCAGTATAAATAGGGGTGGTGGTTTAGGTCAAACAAGGAGGTCATAACCTACAATTTTTCTCCGATTTTTTTTTTCTCATTATCTCTGTCTCGGTCTCTTTTTTCTTCGTTCCTTCAATTTTTTCTCTTTGTTTTTTCTCTATCACTCCCTCTATTCTTCTTTCTTTTCTTTTTCTTTCATCTTCTTTCAATTTTTTCTCTCTTCGTCTTTCATTTTCTCTCTCTTTTTTCTCTCTTCCACTCACCATAACTCTTTTCGTTTTTTTACTTGTTTGTTTTAATTTATTTTCCTCTTTTTCCCCTTATTTACTTCATCTCAATTTTTTGTTCTATGGTTATTTTCACCACAATCGTGTACTTTAACTTTGACTTGCACCACAAGTGAATAAAGAGGGGAAAATCCAAGGGAAAATTGACAAAATAAGCCTCCTGCAGGGGCCTTTTAAGTTTTTTAATCGCCCTTCTCAATACACATGTTTTCTAATCATTTGCTGACATCACCTACTTTGCCAAATGACCTCCAATACCCCTCCTTAACTTGGCCCAAATTTTAGTTTTCCCTCCTCCATTACTTGGAGCCTAATATACCAAATTTTTATTTTCTCTCCTCCCTTTTCTGAAAACACTCCATTTCTCTCTCATTTTTTTCCCTTGTTTTGCTTCTCTCATCTACAGGCAACTCTCGATGCTTGAACTCTAGCATCTATCGGTCTTTCATTTCTCTCTCACTATTAGGGTTGTTTTGCTTCTGTCATCTACAGGCCACTGACTGTCGATGCTCAAACTTCATTATCCATCGGTCTTTGTTTTGAAATGTTTCGTTGGGCTTGTTCACATATAAGTTATTTATTTATTTGTTTGTTTACTGAATTGTTTATTTTTAGACGTGGAGGGAGAGAAGCTGACGGACAGGGCGTGAAGGCAAGAAGAAGGAGATCGTTAGCGCGTTAAATGGATATGGATAGCTACTTGGAGTATGTTATAGATCGAAGTCGTTCATTAGCGAGAGGGAGATCAAAAGCGTTCATGAGCGAGAGCAAGATCTGATCGAGATCGAGAACGTGCATGAGCTTGATCGAGAGCGTACAACGAGAGCGTGAATGAGGTTGATCGTGATCAAGATCGAGAGCGTGCATGAGCTTGATCGAGAGCGTACAACGAGAGCGTGAATGAGGTTGATCGTGATTGAGATCGAGAGCGTGCATGAGCTTGATCGAGAGCGTACAGCGAGAGCGTGAATGAGGTTGATCGTGATCGATATCGAGAGCGTACAACGAGAGCGTGCATGAGCTTGACGAGAGCGTACATCTAGAACGTGCATGGGCTTGATCGAGAGTGTGCATGAACGAGAGCGAGAGAGATGAAAAGACGTGAAATTTAATTCTTTCAATTGTTGGTTGATGTTCTTTAAATTAAAGAAAGGCTGCATCTATTTTTTTTATACTTATTCGATTTCAGTCTATTGAGAATAAACGGGTGCAGTGGAAAATAGCAGCGAGAGTGCAAAACAGATAACGAAAGAGATCGTGAATAAGATTGAACGAGAATGAGCTTGAACGAAAATGAGACATCATCATGAACGATTAACAGCATATAAGTGGATATATAATAATGTGGAAGAAGAAAAATAGCGTAATAAGTAAGCGACCGTGATGACAATAAGGATAAATTTTTTTAGAAGTACAACGAAAATCAACGAAAATTATCACGAACGAGAATGAGCATGTAAGAGAAAGAAGACTGTAGGATTTTGAGAAAGTAAGCAAGCAGTAACAACAAAAATAATAATAATTGATTCATTAAAGTAGGAAACAGGGGCTCCATCCATCCATCCCATTACAAAAAGTGTTTTTTTAGTAGCTTAAACAAAACAACCATAAGCTACTACTAAAATGGGATTTTACAAATTATTATTATTATTACGGTATCGGCGTAGACGGGCCAGTAACTGATCCACCCTGTCCTCCAGACGAAGTCGTTCCTCCTTCTCCTCCTTCAGCAGTCCCTCCAGCAAGTCCTGCGTTTCTTCAACTCGGGCTAACTTATACCTC